TGATCAAATCTGAGAAAGTTATTGGTTGCAACGGAAATGTGACATTATCCTACACACCTATATTAACCATCAAGTTAGCATGGCATATATTTACACAGAAACAACACAACATCCTAATTGATAATTTTCCTTCTTCCCTATAGTTCTAATTTTGAACATGGCACAATGATCTATTCCCCATTTTAATCTTATACTCGAATTCAAATTCAATCTGTGACACACATGTCTATATGCCCAATCTAAAATCTGAGAAGAGCGGAAAAAGTGAGAAAGTTCCCTTTGTTATCCCAAGTTTCTAGCTAAATGGAAGGTACATGAAAAAAATGCATTTCTGGAGTCAGAAGCATGAAATTTAGCACAATCCCAGAATACAAAGTTCATATCTGCATGGTCTGTCTTGTTTATTACTCGCCATTGTAACCCCAGAATGCAAAAATGCATTAATATCTTGAGAAATTAACTAAGCACTGGACCCAACTGGACCCCTGATCATAGAGATTTTACTTGCATGTGTCATCGATGAGACCGATATCTCCCTCAAACTGAGATCATCATCCAAATGAATCCAGGCATGCTTAATGACCTATACTTGGAGATGCAGTTGCTTCTGATACTCAACGGCCCCATCAAGAATTGATGCCTAACCCCGCAGACCAATGCAAACATGAACCCATTAATTTCATCACAAACATAAACGCAGGAGCACCAAATTCAGCGACAAAGAAAGAAGGAAAAATGGAGTGACCTTGTTGGAATTGGGTAGCAGGCTCTGCAACACCTTCAATCTTCCAGCCGATCGACCCAGGCAACGTCTTCCTTGCTCTTCTTGTTCCTCTTCTTCCTCTTTCATTTCTTCTCACCTTCTCACCCTCCTCTTTGCTCTCAGGTACCAAAGTGCCTGCACAATCACTACCATCAACAAAACTGGAAACCCAAGGTGTTACATGGAATAACCTTTTTTCAGAAATAATTCAACTCTATCGTGAAGCAAGCTATGAACAAAACAAGACCAGACCGTTCATAGTATATACAGTTGTTGAAGAGCAAGTAGTATATACTCCCTCCGTCCGGAAATACTCGTCGGACGAATGGATGTATCTAGATGTATTTTAGTTATAGATACATTCATTTTTATGCATTTCTCCGACAAGTATTTCCGGACGGAGGGAGTAAAATTTAGAGCTAAGTATCATTAAGGGCTCCTTTAACACAAGCAGAGATAGCATGATCATAATATACTCCCTCCGTTCCTTGATATAAGGTGTATAGATTTTTGAGAAAAAGTCCGAAATATAAGGTGTATTGCGTTGCACCACTCGTTTGGATAATTTTTTTAGGGATTGCAGACAGGAACTACAGACCGGACCACGATCGTAGCTAAAAGAACTGAAGAGCGAGCAAGCTCCCTATAAGTCGACGTATATTCATAATTATAGTCTAAAACAACAAACCCATCCAACCCGAGTAAAAGCAAGAATGTTATAGAAAGCTCCCTATAAGTCGACGTATATTCATAATTAAAGCAAGAATGAATCTACATTGTCTTGAGCCTAAAACCTCATCATGCTCAGGGAATCTCTTCCGGGCACCTCCGGCAAGGCAAGGCAAGGCAGATCTAACTGATTTAACACCTCCGGCAAGCACGCACGCACACAAAGAGTCACAGTATCCTCATCTTGATGAAAGCAAAAATGTATCATGTACTGTAAATACATACCTTGACCTGGAAAAGGTATGGCCCAGTCTCAATTGACAGTCTTAATGATTCATGTTGGCCTTTAGATAAGTTTTTTAACAACAATTTTGCTTGCTGCTTGTAGATCAACTATATTATCACAAGAAAATAAATGGCTCCTGAAATTACAATTTGGGTATTTGGTGAACTATCAAACAAAACAAATAATCAGAATATTTGATTAACAACGCAGGAAACCTCATGAGGAGCCGGAGAAACCAACGGCAGGTGGCAGCGAGGCTCAATAAGTCACTTCCGTTAAGGTGCCTGTCCACCATCATACAAATGTCCATGTCATACCTGCACCAACAACAAAAACAATATTAAGACTCCCTCAATTTGATGCAGTGCAAATCACATATCATGTAGATAAAGTAGGAAACCACAACTTGAATCTCAGTATTATATCAAAAAGCAGAGTCCTGGGCATATGAACAGCAAATTTGAACACACACACACACCCACACACACAAGAGAGAGAGAGAGGGAGGGAGGGAGGGAGGGAGGGAGGCTATACTGCTACTACCAGCAGCTGTAGGCACACAGGAAAGGCAACAGCCATATGCATCCGCATGTTTTTTACACAAGCAAGCAATCAAACCACTTGCCCCGAACAATTTTTCTTCTGTTCTTCTAGCTGTAGTACGCTAATCAAGCATATGTTTGGGGAATAATTCTATGAATTATTGACTCACTTTCCTAGCATTGCTCGTCAGATTCAGAGGCATTTAAATTACAACAATGGAAATTTGAACTTAATAATCGACAAAAGGATTGAGAGAGAAGGCAACATCTTACCAGTTGAAAGAGATGCAAGAGTATGGCTTTGCCCAGGCCGTATTCTTCCACAACACCACCTCCTCCTGTGGTTGTGTGCAGCTACCCGCCGGAGAATCGTGTCTAGTGAAATCTGCCCGTCATGTGATTCTTCTGACAGTAAACAACTGTTGCAAAATCCAAGCAAAAAGAAGTCTCAAATCGGGTGAAAATAGAGGGAGGCACTAACCGTGAAAGGATCCGTGATGAACCTAGGATACACGAGCACGTTGTCGTTGACGGCCTCAAGGTACTTAAGCCCGGCGTCGAACACGGTGCCGCCCTCATCCCCTGCCGCCCCGTCCGGCGTCAAACCCGGCACTGCCCTCGTCGCCCTCGCCCCGCGTCGCCACGACGGAGATGGGGAAGATGAAGACCCGGGGCGAGGATACCGAGATGAGCGCGTCGAGGCCCCGTCCAAACTGAAACAAGCTATCAAGCAGAAAGTAAAAACCAAGAAACAGAACATGGCATATACAAAAGCAACCGGCAATGTGTTGATTCTACTTCAAACCAATGTTCAAGAAAGCGGAAAGCGTAAGCGAAGCGGAAGGCCACAGCTTAGAGCAATGAGCGCTTAAGCGCAGCTTAATCGCACTTAAGCGTTTTTTGAAATTGGCTAGAATTTGACAGATTTTGAATGATATACACATGAAAATAGGAAGCTTGGCACATGGGTAATTGAAGTAGCATCTGAAATACAGTTCACACAATAGCAAATACATATCAGGTTCGCATAGCAAGCAAAATAACAACTAAAATGCAGTTCAGTTCAAATAGACGTAACCTAACAAATATCATGTGGACAGAATTTTGCCAAAATATGAAGGAAATAGTTCTTGAACATAGCCTAGTAATAAGATAAATAGCATATTGCCATTATTGCACAAGCAGACCAGCAGAAGTAGTACAAAAATTGCCAAATTTCGGTCAAATTTAAATAAAAAACGCTTAATCTACCGCTTAGGACAAAAGCGAAGCGCTTTGCCATCGCTCAGCGCTTAATCGCGCTTAAGCGTTGCTTCAAAACGCTTTCTTGAACACTGCTTCAAACCTGAAAATGGCAACAAAACCTAGAATGGCATCTATCCTTGAGATTGCTAGCTTGTACTCAGCTCTGATTAGACACGATTTTAAAATTTTTGAACTGATAAATGATGACACACAAAATATATGTGATACCAAATCTGATCCTCGGGGACTTCAAGGATATCAAAAAATACACCATTTCATGATTTAGATTGATTTTAGCTATTTGTCATGGCTCAACGTGGTGATCACTTCTTTGTATGGACCAATTTTTCAATTTTGTAATGAGGGGGAGGTTCAAGGAGAGGGTGAAGTTTCTGTTCATGTTGGGATAGAGCAGAAGCACCCTATGCATAGCAGATTGCTTACAAAAATTTGTTTCATTCTGCAGCACAACAATTCTCTATCATTACTTGCAAACAAAGTTGCAACAGAAAGATTCACTTTCTGCTTAGCATGTCTGCATGGAATTTCCTACATAATTTTCCTGGACTCAGGCAATGGCCTGTAATAATTAAGTAGACAATTTAAGTAGACTAATTTTAGTAGCCCAGATACGAAAACAATTAAATAACAAGCAATAGGAAACAATTAAAAGCCTGATCCAGAACTACAACCAAACTGGAGCGAGCAGTAGATTTCTTAGTCTGGCAAAATCTGATTTGGTAGTGCTTATACATCAAAAAATGTTTATCGACAAAAAAACTATGTGATGCAGTATTTACACAATCCAATATTTTCATATAGGGTCAGCACCAAAGAAACAATTCTGATGCACTGAGATAAACAATTCCAATGTACTTGTTCATATGAATGTTTGGGTGTTTCCACGAGCATGTTTGGGTGTTCTTACAATGCTGAAATTCTATTATTAAGACTAGTGCAATAAGCCATTAACCGACATTTTTATTTATTATTCTATCATAATGGCTATACTATCCAAGAGCTATCACTCCCCCTAATTTTCTATCTCGGAGAAGATGCACATTGGTCCATCAAAATAAAACACTAAAGCCTGGAGCTCGTTAGGAGGCAGTGATATCCCAACATGCAGCTAGCCGAAGATCACCTAAAGAAGGGACTATAGTACCATATAGTTGGAGTTGAATCATTGAGTTACATGCCTGGGAATTTGAATGGGACTCTAGATAATTCCCTGGGTTCAGAACAAGGCGCCTATACCTCCCCTCTTGTAGCAATTTACTCTTTATAATTGACTTCATCAAGTTCTAGCTATCTCTCTCCCAAATTGAGGGATGGGGCAGCAAATATTCATATGCTCACTTCAACAAGTTCTAGCTATCTCTCTCCCAAATTAAGGGATGGAGCAGCAAATACTCATATTCTCATGGGAAATAAGAAGACACGAAAAGAGAAAAAGGAGTGAGGAATTTTTACCTGCGCCACAAGGCTCGCAAATCTACGTCGCCCTCCGCCAACAACAGTGCCAAGATGTCCGGTTCTTGTGGATGGCGCCCATGGATTTGAAGTGGGGTGACTTCAATCCCCTCCCTTGATATGGCTTGCTGTTGCCTTTTGAAGTTTGTCCATGGAGAAGAGAAGCGGAGGTCGTTGGCCCAGCACCGCACCGGAGCAGACGACGGCGAGCTCGACCATGTGCGGGCCGTGGTGGTCGTCCTCGTCCATGGGAGGATGGTGGCTGCAGCACCGAATCGAAGAAATAAGCGAGTGGGGCGGGGAGAGACGGAAGAAGGGGAGAGGAGAGGGCATGAATCGAGGAAAGAGGAGAGCTCACCTCGCCGGAGTTGGAGGCGGCCGAAACCCTAGCCACGGGGAGGGGTCGCGCGCGAGTGCTCGCAGCCGTGAGGAGCGGATCTGGCCGGAGTGCAGCGGTGGCGGCGAGCTCGGCGGCTGGAGAGGAACGGGGAGGAAAGGAGGGTAGCGCGGCGGCGGCCGCAGGGCCTGCTAGGTAGCGGCGGCTAGGGTTGGGATGGGAAGGAGAGGGAGCTACGCGAGGAAAAGGATCGGGATGCTGCACGAGTGCGGGAGGAGCTGTCCACGGGAGGTGTTGGTTTTTATACGCCTGTACGCAGAATGACCAAAATACCCCGGTGGGGGCACGGTATTTACATTTTGCTGCCATTACTATTCATTCCAGCTGTTCATCTCGGATCCGACGGCCCGGGTTCATCCAAATCTTGATCCGAAGCCCAGAAACGCATCAAGCAAATCGATCCGACGGCCGAGAGTCGCTGATCTCTGAGAGGCTTGTACATCCATCCTTCTCTTATTTCTGGATAATAGGGTTGTTGCTTCCACCTAGAAAACGAAGCTATAGCTTCCCCTAAAATAGATAGTGTGGTTGGTTCTCCGGTGAGGTGCGGCCTCCCCATCTTGCGCGCTCGGGAAGAAAAAAAGAAGAAGAAAAAAGTGACTAACGCAACAAAAAAATTCAGGTACCCAATAAATAGCAAAAACCGATATAATACACATGGAGTTGTGTAGTGGCAAAGCAACTTGACCGTGTGCGTGCGCAACAACCTCCTGGTTTTGTTTGGCCTGGTGCGATCGGGCGGTCGCTGTCTTGGACCATGAGTCCACGGTCCACCATGGCCGCTGTTCATGGAGACCAAAGGCGGCAAGCGGTCAGAGATTGCGATGGACGGCTGTTTTGCGATGCACATGGTACTAGCATGGAAACACACCGTCCAAGTCTTTTACAAAGCCGTTGGTAAAGCGCGTGGGTCGGTGCTCAATCCATGGCCATGGGGGGCAGGGCAAAAGCGCGGTCTCAACAGAAAGCTCACGGATCATCATGATCCAAAACGCGACGCGAACGTCTTCCATCATGGCGTCGTCCCGTATCGGATCCGTAGGGGACACTGCACTACTGGAACGGGATAAGGCGAGGCGTGCACGGCTGGTCTGGTGAGGTGAGTCGCCGCTGTCTCACTGCCCGGCGCGCCGCTGTTGGCTTCCTCCTCGCAAGTACCCAACCAAAACCTTTCCGTTTTGCTTTCCTCCGGTCTAGGAAGGTTGCTGCCGAGCGCGTGTGGGCGGGCAGGAAGGCGCCGCTCGCGCGTGTTGGCTCGATCGACCCACCTACACACAGATGAGATAAGTTTCCTAGAACTGCTACAGGACAAATGTGTCGTCCGATACTCATCCCACGGTAAGCCATCGCCCTTGGATCAAACATTGGACTGCAAATCTGACCATGCTGTGAGAATGCCGGTTCCAGAATTCCAGCAGACAGCGCAAACAGGATGAGATAGACATGCAGGTTCCACATCAATCTTGAACTAACGTCACAACATTTCTTCCCTTCAGGGACTACACGCTTATTATACGTATGTTTCACCCATACGATTCACATTACACGACCACATCCTATTCTTTCTTTCATTCATGCGCGCTAGTAATAACAGTAGTAGTACGGTTTACTTCACATAAACACAGCATACAGGACACTGTTTCTTCACAAATACGTAGTATAAGGCCATTGAGCCTGCTAGACACTCAGGTGACAGGTGGTAGAGAAGCAGCGGCAGATAGCTGGTTTAACGATGAGATCAGGTGTAGGAAGCACGAGCCTGTTAATCTCAAGGGAGGGTCTTCGTAGAGATGAGCTCGAACGACAGCCCATTCTCCTCGAGGCGCTTCTGGAGATCTGTGGGGCCGAAGACGGCGCCCGGCGTGTAGACCCCGCCCTTCGGCAGATTGGCCCGCTGGCTCAGCAGGACGAGGGCACACTGGACGAGGACGATCGGGGTGGTGATGTACCCGATCTCAGGCCCCGAAACTCTGGTCACGATCTCCTTGTCTGGCTTGCTTCCACGCTCTGATGCGCGGGCCGAGTCGCTGTACCCGCGGCCGATGAACCACATTTTGAACAAGGCGCTGCAGACCTCCTCTTCTGTTGGCCCGGTCTTCCTGAACAGCCCGATGGAGAAGAACTCAGGGAATTTCAGCAAGAGGGACCTGCCGAAGGAGAAACCCCCCAGGATGCCGATGAAAAGTCCAGTGCACAGCCACAAGAAAAGGCCCAGGATCGAACGGCTGCTGATCTTCACACCGAAATGTGCAGGTTTGATAGAGGACCAGAATTCCTTCCTATGCTCCGCAAATTCTGGGGTTTCGTCCGCACCAGGAAGGCCCTCGGGATGCTCTGTCACTTTTGCTAGGGTTCTCTTCACAACCACTGTGTCGGCAGAAGGTAGCTTCATCACCCACAGTCCTAGTGCCTTGTCATGCTCAATCAGTGATCCTTTGGGAGGCGGAGGCCCCGGAATCTGCACAAAGGGAGAAGAAACCTTAGCATCAAATGTGATCATTATACAATAAAAGAATGATTCCATCATAATTTCACCAACTCATCATCGCAGGCATTGGATTCAGGGATTCAAAGGCTATAACAAATGTGGTGGACATATTCGCTAGGATCTTTATTCCACGACTTACTAGTTACTACTCCCTCCATTCCTAAATATTTGTCTTTCTAGAGATTTCAACAAGTGACTACATACGAAGCAAAATGAGTGAATCTACACTCTAAAATATGTCTATGTACATCCGTATGTGGTAGTCCATTTGAAATCTCTAAAAAGACAAATATTTAGGAACCGAGGGAGTATAAAACATTTAACAATATTGAAGATTATATCACAAGAAAGGTCAGGGCAGCTTCTGATGATGGGGGTGGGGGAGAACCTTGCCGCTAACACAAGGAAGAGGAAAGCGAACAATGGGATTTCATAGACACTTGTGATATATTTTACCCATACGATTCACATTACACAAGCACATCCTATTCTTTCTTTCAGGCGCGGTAGTAATACTGTCTTGTCTTATTTCACATACGACACTCAGGTGATAGCTGGTTTAATGATGAAAGAAAGCAGACTGATTGTCCAAGAACACCACAGATCAGGTTCAGGAAGCACAAGCCTTTTTGTTAATCTGAAGGGAGGGTCCTTGTGGAGATGAGGTCAAACGACACTCCGTTCTCCTCGAGACGCTTCTGGAGATCTGTGGGGCCGAACATGACGCCCGGCGTGTACACCCCGCCTTTCGGCAGATTGGCTCGCTGCCTCAGCAGGACGAGGGCGCACTGGACGAGGACGATCGGAGTGGTGATGTACCCGATCTCTGGCCCTGAAACTCTGGTGACCACCTCCATGTCTGGCTTGGTTCCACGCTCTGATGCACGGGCCAAATCGTTGTACCCATGGCCGACGAACCACAGTTTGAACGAGGCGTTGTTCACCTCGTCTTCTGTTGGTCCAGTCTTTCTACACAACCCAAGGGAGAAGAACTCAGGGAATTTTAGCAAGAGAGACCTACCCAGGGAGAAACCCCCAAGGATGCCGATGAAAAGTCCAGTACACAGCCACCGCACAAGGCCCAGGATGGAACGGGTGCCGATCTTCACACCAAAATGTGCAGGTTTGATAGAGGACCAGAATTCCTTCCTGCAGTCCACAAATTCTGAGGTTTCATCCACACCAGGAAGGCCCTCAGGATGCTCTGTCACTTTTGCTAGGGTTCTCTTCACAACCACTGTGTCAGCAGAAGGTAACTTCACCACCCACAATCCTAATGCCTAGTCATGCTCGATCAGTGATCCTTTGGGAGGTGCAGGCCCCGGAATCTACCCAGAAGGAGAAACCTTGGCATCAAATGATCATTCTCCAATAAAAATTTGATTCCATCATAGTTTCGCCAATTCATCACACATTGGATTCACAGATTCAAAAGCTATAACAAATGTGGTAGACATTTTCGCTAGGATCTTTACACTATGACTTGCTACAAAACATTTAAGAATATTGAATATTCTATATGACATGTCCAATCTATCACAACAAAGATGGGGGCAGCTAGAAATAATGGGCCTAAGTTGAATTCAGATTGTGGCATTGCCGAAGCCAACCCATTTTGCTTTGTCTTTATAAAACATTCAGCCACACAAAAATTTGTGTGGGCATCGGTATTTAGATCAACCACACAAAATTTACATCCAATCCAAACGGGCCCCAAATGAAAGAATGAATCCATTATTAAGGGCAAGCAAGGCAAATGTGGAGTGAATTACTACCAACAAAATGGCAAAGGGGTAATATTAGCCATTAGAAATACCCATTCTTCATGAAGTAGCAGTGTAGCACATACATTTACACAACAAAAGGCATGGCAGACACCATTCATATGTGAGAAGACCAATGTTAATCTGAGCTTAAGAATTATTCAGTAGCTAGTAGTTGGTCCATGATACTCCCTCTGTTCCTAAATATGTCTTTGGAGAAATTACACTATGGACCACATTCGGAGCAAAATGAGTGAATCCACATTCTAAAATGCATCTATATACATCCGTATGTAGTTCATAGTGAACTCTCTAGAAAGACTTATATTTAGGAACGGAGGGAGTATATGTCAGCTTGATTTTATAGTCCTTATTGGAGCAGCCAGTTAGCACAACATACACGGCCGAACAAAAGAACTACATATAAAATTTTGACGCCTTCAAACAAAGGTGATGATCAGGCGTAAGCAATCTATTATTTCTAAGACAATAAAGAAACAGAACTATACCAGGTTGTACACAAGTACGCAAACACCATATATAACCCAGACATCAGCAGTAAGGCGGCGGTCAGGAGTAGGCAATAGTTTTCTTGCAAGAAAATAAAAAGGCAAAACTAACAATACCAGGTTGTCCACGACCACAAGTGCCCCTAGACCATACATAGCACAGGCATTAGCAGTAGTGTATATTCATTCTTAATGATAGAAGACAAGCAACTAGATTTGTGTCCTCCCTATCGTCTGTAAGTCTCTATCTAGCTATAACCGTCCGCCTTCTTAGTTACTCCCTCCGTCCGGAAATACTTGTCATCAAAATGAATAAAAGGGGATGTATCTAGATGTATTTTAGTTCTAGATACATCCCTTTTTGTCCATTTTGATGAAAAGTATTTTCGACGGAGGGAGTATATAATAAGAAACTATGCCACACATATTCCGTCGTATCTCGACCTGCATCAATAACTTTTAGATTGTATTTTCTAGTGCTAGTAGTACACTATACCAGCACACATAGTACATACTTCCTCCATCCCAAAATAAGTGTCGCGGACTTGG